AAAATATACAGATAAGGTATTTTGCCTTTTGTAGAGGTAATAGAAATATGTACAGATATAGTAGAGGATAAAATTGACTGTTACAGTAGAGAAACAGATCATTAATGCTTCAGGACAAAAAGAAACTTTTTAACCTAAGACTGGTACACAGAAATAAACTTCACAGGGAGCAATTTAGTCCTAATTGAACATAGAAGCTTTCTCACTTCTTTGCATGGATCAACTCTGGCCAGACAGGACAGCAAATAAGGTGAATTTAACATCTGAATTTAGGTGAGTCATTTCTATTTCATAATTGCAGTTTATTTTACAAACTATATGGTGTTCAGACCTCCTAAAGTGAGACTTGAGTCCTTTAAAACTGATTTGTTCCTGTGGCGGGTTTAGTTCCTCAAGAGGGACCTCAAACCCTCTGTTCCAGTTATTTATAGCAGCCATTATAAGTCATTTTAATTGACTGAAGTTCTTTATTCCCACAGGAGGGACTGAAAGTGTGCCTGTGAGTACCCCTGCAACACAGATTTCCCAGGTAAAGATGAGCAAAATGCCCTAAATAACTCCAAGAGTTTAAAGAGTTACTAATATATAAGCAGTAGTTAAAAAGCTAAATTAAGTTGAAGGAAAAATGTAGGCATTCGCAAGGAACATGGCAACCAAAATGTGCACACTGCATGAATAAATCTTACACATCTTGGACCTCATCTTAAAAGACCTTTCAGTAAAATTTCTCTGCTCACAACCAGTTGTATTTAGAAAGGTGATTTGTGAGCACAGCTAATTAAGCAACTGACATCATTAGCACTAATTAGAGAATGTCAATTCACTGGGCTGGGGGGAGATTTCCTGACTGAGCTTCGATGAGCTTTCAGCAAACCTGATGAACTGTCCCAGGAGCAAGGATCTGTTGACTGACATGGGCCAGCGGTGTCTTATGCAGTAGGGGCCCAAGTCTTCTGTGGGGCTTTGGGTTGTCCTGGCACCCTCACAGCTCCTCAAACCATGGGGGGCTCTTGCCTGATAATCCAGAGCAGCCAGAGTGTTGAGTCTTTCTGCATGTCTTTGTCTGGCTTCCCAGCCAGAAGCTTGGAAACCCTGGTGATCAGTTCCTCCTGAGCTCTGTGCCCTGTCTTTGGGCTAACATTTTTGCTGCTATTGGACACCACAGATGCTGTAAGGCTGTCTATTACTACAGCCCAGGGAGTATCCATCCTGTAAGATGCAGTTTCAGCCTTTCCACAGTGATGTTTCCTACGCATTTCCAGTCCGCAGGAAATGTGACAGAGTTCTAAGCACTTCAATCCCTGGTCTGGTTCAGTATGGAACCATAATCTGAGAGAGGAAACATACCCCTGAAGTGGAAATCCAGATTATTTGAGACCTCCCTTGTCACCATTGCAACACTAATGCCTGTAATTGCTTGCAAGTGCACCATGGCAAGTGCAGAGGCACCGCTTTCCATGAACTACCCAGCACTTCTGTCATCTCATCCTCTTTTCCCATCCAGACAGCTCCAAGGGCCCAGCCCAGTGGATCCAACATGCACGTGGGACTGTGTGCTGGAAACACCATGCACACATGCTGCTTTACAGCTGACACATGGGTACCTTAATGAATCCTTAAATGTCAGTCACCAGCTGGCTCTTCCCTTCTGCTTCAGCAAAGGCCCTGTGGACAATGCAGTTACCAAAAGGGACTGCACCAACGTGGAACAAGGGCTGATGAGTACCTGCAGCCCCCTTTAATACATTCATTGTTCTCTTCTGTACTCTGCTGCTCTGACTGTATTCCTACCTAGGAATGTATATCCTTGCCTAGGAATATATATGTCTTGTATACTCCTAGGACCAGCTTCTTTACCACTGTAAATCACTGCAGCTCTGCTGCTTTCCTGCTGTGAGGCACTGCAAGCCTTCCTAATGCTTGGCTGTAGGAGTGCTGCCCTTAAGCACAGGAGTTAGTAGCTGTTCTAAAAATTAGTTGTTTCCTGGTAAAAACATGCAGCATGCAACTCAGAAAAATCAGATCCAGGGTCTGTGTCAAACGCGGGACTTTGTGCCAGATTGATTTCAAGCAGTGTCCTTCTTTTGAGAGACACAATATCTATTTACTTCTTCAGACCAGCCCCAAAAGACGTGCAAAGTGATGGACAGTAGATAAGTTGGGGGAAGCACCACAGACACTACTCCTTCATGGCCACAGAAGGTTTTGCTCTTATCAAGGATATATTAATAATGGCAGAATTGTTTTGTGCAGTATTTCTTTATCATGAGCCTGTTTTCTACTGGTTTTGACAGGCTTCAGCTCAAGGTCCCAGACAGCAGGTCCTGTTCTAGTGTAAGGACTTAGGCAGCTGCGAAGGTCTGAAGGTGAAAATGGCCATCCCTTTGGAGACAGAGCCCTGGACAGCCTGGCCAGTGCTGGGGGAAACCTGTGGGAACACAGCTGCTCAGAGAAGCAAGGTCTCCTTCTCATGCTTTTAGTGGCAGCCAGGACAGTGACCCAGCTCACCAAGGCTCTGCTGCCCTCTTTCCATCCCACTCCTTCCTTCCATAAACCATCCTCATCTGCCATCCACAATCATCTTCCCTGGGCTGCCTCAAAGCCCAAAGCAAGCTTTAAGCTGCAAGGACAGTCATTATCTTTTACAAATGTCTCAAATTGCTGGCACCCACCAAGAGAGGGAGAAGACTGGAGTTTTGCTGCCTCGGGTCCAGGAAGCAGCATCAGCCCTGTGCAGCCTTTGTGAACAGCATGGTTTTTCCACACAGAGCTGAAAAACATCGGGGCAGCAGGTGAAATAGGAGTCATGGGGCCCAAGAAAGACATAACCTACTATGGCACTGGATGCCTCACTGCTTTGCTTTGTCAGATTTGAGGGCCACGCTCCAAAGGCAGATGGGTGCTGAAATCTGTACCTGGTAATAAATTATTTAGATGCCTAAATGCTTTTTTTGAGCAGTTCTTGGACAGGTTTGAAGGACTCCCTGTGACTGTGCAGATTCATTTATCCTCTAGGCATTAGTTCAGTTTAAGTTATTGTTTCCTAAATTCTGCAAGTGTTAAATTACATTAATTACAGTAATTACATTTACTCCCATGAATAAGTGAGCTGGGGCAACACATTACAGTTCAACTCTTGCTCTATTGGAAAATCTGCCTTTTATTGGTATATGTTGCACTTAGAAACTTTAGAAACACAGAGTTGACTTGACTTTGCAGAGGGTCACAAACCTATGAAGTACCTCTCTGGTCCTGTAGGCATAGGCCATTCCTGTGGAGACAGAGCCCTGTCACTTGGCTAAGACATGGGCAGGGCTTGATACTTCAGTGGCTTCCACCTGTTTTAACAGCTTATGGGATTTAAAGGATGATTTTCTACAGCTTGCTTTTAGAAATGAGCTCAAACTAAAATCCATAGCTACAGCATGCTTGGCAAGAGCTTAAAGATAACATGCTGTTCCTGTGCCACTTCACTTGATTTTGGGTCAACCCTGCATCCAATGCAACAAGAATGTATTTCCTCTCTATGCTATCCTGACCTGCTCAGGGTTTCAGCACTTCTTGTTCCATCATACAAGCTCTGTGGCTGGTTGGTGTTTCTGGCTGCATTCATCCCTCAAGCAGCAACACAAGGATGCATTTCAGTGTCTGAAACAGCCACTGCAATCTGCACGGGGCTGAGGAAGGATATATGGGGCAGGACGGACTCAGGCTGGGTTCTGGAGCACTGAGATGGACACACAAAGAAACTAAGCTAGCATTGTCACCACAAAAGCAGAGATTGGCCAACAGCAAATCCCAAAACAACAGGTCACTGTCTGCTCTTAGATGCAGAGGATATTTTGTCCAGCCTCTAATCCAAATCTTTCCTTTTGCTGGCTGACCTCTGCTTTCACAGAGAGTGTTTCGGTGCACATGGACACCAAAGTCTCTGCAGTGGTCCATTTTTGCTGCCTTGCAGTTTCTTACTCTGAAACCACAAGATCAGCAATGATTCCCATCCCTATACCATTCAAAGGATCTGTGTAGTTTATTTCCTTTCTGGAAGTATCTGAAGAGGAGATGGCCAAGCTTGTGGGCAGAAACATTTCATTTTTGGCTTATTCTCCCCAGACTATGTTATCTCCAGGGCCAGCTCCAGGACTGCTCCACTGCTAGCAAGACTTGGGGCTGTGATATCTCCATCCTGAAGCAGATCTCTAAAAGGGATAAGCATAGGTTAGAATGGAATAGCATATTCCAGTTGGAAGGGACATATCTGGCAAATCAACCCTTTTCACCTGGAGGGCAGTGTGTGATGCCCAGCCCTTATGCAGGCTGGCAGACAGACTGTGCCTTGGCCTTGTCAGCTCAGGGAGGAAGTGTGTCAAGCACCTGGGAGCAGGGATGGGAATATTAACATTTACAGTCACAGTACTTTATAGCCCTCCCTCCCCCTTCTCCAGGCACATATGTTAGGATGTCTGATGATGCCATGACCAACTGGGCTGAGATATCAGAAGCAGTGTGGTCACTGTCTGCCCTAAGCACCCCTCTAACCCTTCAGGCTACATTCACAGGTCACAAGGTGACACTGCGGCCAGGAGGGTTGGGGGAAAGGGCTGAGCCAAGGAGTCTGGAACTCCAGCTGGCTTGGGGACTTGAGTTGTCATCCTGATGAAGGAATATGTCCTCAGCCTCCTGCTCCCCTCTGCACTGTCCCAGTGCCTGTGGTTCCTGTCAGTCCCGCTCCCTCCTCCTACCCAGGCACTCTGGAAATGTGTGTCCAGCCAGATCAGAGTGGGGGCTGCGGGGCGAGCGCTGGGGTAGGAGTGGGGATGGCAGGCAGACATCCTCTGTAAAGACACTGCCAGTCTTGACCAGAGGAGGCTGGTGCATGCCATTGCCCCGAGGTATCGGAAGCCATCTCTGCTCCATTTGCAGGACTCAAGCGCCTGAGTTCCCGGGGTGGCTCTCCGCTTACCACCAGTGCTCCTGTTTTGGACTCAGTTTATAACCAGATGTTAGGCCGAATTTCTGTTGTAAAGGTAAAAACCTCTGTGCCGAAGCGCCTTGGGCCGCGACCTCGCTGTGGGCTTTGTGCAGGCAGGACGAGCGCCTCGCTCACAGCAGTGGGGGCAGAGTCCAGAGTCACCAGCCCGAGCTGCTCCCAAGAGGGTATTCCCTGCTTAGCCCTCTGCCAGCGCTGATCCCCCCTCACTGCCCACCTCCACACCTGCCTTGTCTGCATGCTGTGCCAGCCTGGCTTGCCCCAGTCCATCTCCTGCTTCACCCAGCTATCACTGGCTGCCTCCAGCTTAGGTAGTGAGCTCTTCCAGCAGCACCAGGGCCTCTAGGGACAGAAAATAGAGAGAGTGGGCACAGCGTCACTGTATGCCAGGGGAAAACCTCCTGTTCCCTCCCCAGCACAAGTTAGAGCTGCCTCCTTCCATGGAAAGGGCCCGTGGCAAAGGACAGAACTTCTCCACAGCCCTTGGAGAGCGAGGGGTTAGATCTGTGTGGGGAGAGTACCAGGCCCACGAGCAGGTGTGGGAGGAGGACTTGCTCAAATACAGACACGTTCTTGATTGCTCAGCTGCTTTGGAGATTAATAATCTGGCTGCTGTTATTGCAAACTTTCTCGGCACGTTTCAGGCTGTCCTCTCCTACTACAGGCTGACAGGCTGCAAACTGCCAGGGAGCCTGGAAAAACTCAAAAAAGTTTTTTAAAAAAGTCTAAGAAAGGGGCACATTGACTGCCCAAGACAAACACCTCCTACTCTGTACTGAGGCTGCAGCAGGGGCCAAACCTCTCCCCATGTTTCTCAGCCATGAAAGGAGGAGGAGAAAGAGGACAGCACCTTACAGGATGGGTTACACCCAGCCTTTGTGACCCTCGGGGACACAAACACCTGAGCTTGGGAGGAGGGACTGAACCCACCGTGTTTGTGGTTGCTGTAGTTGCAGGCATTAGCCTCTGAGCTGAAGGCGGGTTTCACAGAAGCAATGCAGGAGCTGTCACGGATCCAGCATGGAGAGTATGCCCTGGAAGAGAAGGTCAAGAGCTGCCGCTGTGCCATGGAAGAGAAGGTGGCTGAGATGAAGAATTCCCTCAACACATTCAAGGTAGGAGTGTGACCTGTGGGGAAACTGCATACATTCCACGTGAGAGCTTATGAGGCAGAGGCAAACATTCCCCTGCTTCCATTAACACTTCCTGTTTGCAAAGAAAAGGAGCTGGCAATTATTTTGGGTACACCTGGGATACTTCCTTTTGTGTCTCCCCTGACTGCTCCAACTCAAAAGTAACCCATACTCTGGCCTATTTAGCCTGCTTGACTGGCCATGAGGCAGTGCTGAGGGTTACCTGGGCACAAGCAGCCCTTGCTCTGGGCTGCACATGCCATGGGTTTATGGCTTGTTCATAAGCTACTGCTGGGCCACTGTCCCACACCTCTCCCTGGGTCAGGCCTCCTGCATTTCCTGCGAGAACCAAAGCCACTGGGGAGCAGCAAATTAACACAAAACCCTAAAGCCTTTTGAAGTCACATTTCCACACTGCTGGGAGGAAGTGCTGCCTGGTTTGATCTGGCCCAAGAGGATAAAGACAAAAGGCTGGAGAGACAGCCTAGCAAGAAGGCTTGATGTGGACTTTAGACCAGCCAGCGTGTCCATGCAGAAACTGGATGACGAGGCAGGCAGAGGAACTCTTTTATTGTTCTTATCGCAAATTTTCCCCCTGGGGTTTTGCTGAGTCAATAATACCTTGTAAAGTTAAAGAGGGCTGCTTACTGAAAAAGCCCATTACTAACCCTGTGACAGGGAGACAGATGGCACCAAGCAAAAGGAGCTCTTGGTGCCAACAAAAAGGGCAAGGGCGTATGGGAAAGATCTCAGAGCAACCAGACACAGGGTTATCTAGGACATTGTCATAGGGGAAAAGGGGATTCAAAATGCAGATACAAATAATTATGCAAGCAACAGAAGGGGCAAAGACTGCTGTCCCCCTGCCTCATGCCCATGGTGGCTATTCAAACACTGGGCTCCCAGTGAAGCCACCTCCTTGCCTGGGGAAAATCCTTTGGTTTGCATGAAACTGTTGAGTATTTCTCCTCAATCCTGCTGCTCATGTTCATGAAACCTGCAGGAACTTCATGCATCAGAGATCTACATCTGAGAAAGCCTTGGCTGAAATGGCTTGAGGGAGGATGGACAGGGAGGATATGGAGGGCCTCATTTCCTTAGGAAACCAGGCTAAAAGGGCAGATCCATGGCCTGACTGGAAAAAGTTTATACACGAGTGCTCACACTGGGATCTGAACCAAGTGCAACATGTGAATACACATGCTGGAAAACTGCAGAGGGAAACGTGCTCCCTAAGGTCCACCTCCAAATGCCATTAAGGGCAGGAGCCCCAGTGCTTTCGACTGGTGGTGGGTGAAGCCCTGAGTCTCATCTCCCACCAGTGCCTCGATCATGTGGCACCACACTGGCTTGGGCAAGCTGTCTGTAGAATTAAGGATCACCACATTGTGCCACGTTGTTCATGGCATGTGTGACACATCCTGGACTTGCAAAGGAAGAGCCTCAAATCACAGAACCACTCCCTCCCCACAGCACCCTGAAGCACCTTTTGTGCACACCAGCCAGCATTCAGAGCTGTGCCACCTAAGGCTGATGGGCACCCTGGGAATGCTGTGCTTTTGCCTGTTTCTCAGGAGGAGCTCAGCGATGCCAAGTCAATGATTGAAGAAATCAGTGCCAAGCAGGAGGAAATGCAACAGAAAATTGAGCAGCTGCAGCAAGAGAAGCGGCGGGAATCACGGAAAATGAAAGCTAAGTAAGGGCCCAAAGCCCAGGGTGCTGAAAATGCTAATTAGCAGTGGTGTCCATTTTGTTCCTTTCTGTATAGCATCATTTCTTATTTTTTTTCCTGGCTGGACATGTGTATCAACCCTGTTTATGATCGGAAATGCTTCAGTTCACCCCAGGCTTTTAGACACACACCCCACAGAGCAAAGACAGAAGAAAAATGCTAACACCTCACTGGGATTCCAACAGAAAAACAGCCCGCAGCAGCTCCCTGGGGAACCAGGGCCTGGCAAAACAGAGACCCACTAAAGACGTGCTGGGGCTGTTGAAAGTCAGAAGCCTCCACCATTCAGACAACAGCACTGCAATTTCCCATTCCAAGCTTGCAGGACTCAATGGGCTCCTGATGGTGCAGTCATGCTCTGCTTTCCTGCCACCAGCTTTCTCTCCTCTTAGCAGAGTCAGAGAATGTTTGCACACTGCTGGGCCACACTGATGCTGTGATGAAGTAGATGGTTGTCCAGCTTGGTCCTAATTAGCCTCCTTCTGAAAACAGAGTTTTGCTCATGAGTCTATACAGCTGCCTTGATGCAAACACTGCAAATCTAGGCTAGCCCCTCAGCTAATTAAGCTATTTAATTAGATGAAATATGCTCTGCAAAAGAATAGATCTGAAATAACCTTCTCCTATAGCCAGTGGAAGTTATTTCCAGAACATTGTTCATGAACTGCCAATTCCATCAAAGCCAGCTCCTTTCCTAGTGTCTGCTAGAGTTGTCCTATTTCTGACAGTGTTGGCCACAAAAGTAATGTAGGAGCTTCACCTGTAGCATTCAGACTTTCCAACCACCTCGTTCTTTGTGTTTGCAGAAGAGCACAGAAGGATGACCACGGGTCACAGACAGTGCCAACACCTCTCCAGGGCAGCCCATTTCGGTCCATCAACCTTCCAGAACCTGTGCTGATTAATGAAGATTTTACGAGTCTTTTACACAATGTGACGTATGAAAAAGGTAGGAAAGAGAACAGGCCAATGCAGTGCCTTCCTCAGGGAAAATAAAAAATCAGAAAAAGATCACTGGGGTAACCAGGGTTCAGGAAGTATTTGCTTTGGGAATGCTGTCTCAACAGCCATTTCTTGCCTCCTCCAAGGAGAGGGATGCAAGCTGGATCTTCATTCCTGTAGTGTCAGTAGCAGAGATACAGAACCAAATAGAGACTGTTGATAAAAATCCTGGGTTTGTTTCTGCGTGAGGGAGGAGGGCACAGGAAGGAGGATCACACCTTGATGGGGAAAACACTGTCAGACACTTGGAAGTTGGAATCAGAGAAAAGGTGATGGACCAGAACCTTTCATTTTAAAATTAAGTTTGGGGGTCTAAACTGGGCTATCACTCTCTTGCTGTTCAGATAGGAAGATAATAAAAACATATTCAGTTAAAATGTCAACAGAGGCAGAGATTAGATGAAAACCATCTGAAAACCAAATGCGCTGTGTTTTATCTGTTTTGCTCACAGTCGTGGCCCTCCTCTGCCCTACACCCTGAGGTGGTGTGTTAGCCCTCTCCCTCACATCCCTCTTGCACAGCCACCTTTCTCATCCACTTCTCCCATTGCTCCTTTCTGTCCAGTCTCATCCCTCTGCTCTTCAATATGCTCCTTTCCACTCAAAATGGCAGCCCTGTCTCTGTGTCAGGTCTCCATCATCTTTGCTCTGTGTGGGGTATCTTCTATCCAACATGCACCTACATGCCAGGAGAAGCCAAGACTGCTCACATTCCTCTGCAGTCACACAGCACTGAGCACAGCAGGGACCTCACATCATCTGCCTGCAAGTGCTACTGAAACGCAGACTGTGACAAGAGCACAGCAGTAAAGATCCTCCCTACTGGAGAGTCCAAAAGGGGTGTTTTCATAGCAAAACTGTGAAAGACTAGAGGATTTAACCCTACTGACAGGGCCTGGCAGGAAGAAGCAAGCTCTACAGTTGCCCTCTGTTGCTAAAGTTCCCTTTGTTCTTCAACAGTGTCTGACACCAGGATCATGCCCATGGGAGAAGGAGGTGTGAAAGTCATAGCAGGCCCAGGTAAGAAAATATCAAACATCAGAGGACAGCAGGACAGTAATTCAATTAGAGTGCTTGCCTTACTGCACTGAAGAAATGCTTTCAGGGAAGGCATTTCACAGGGATGTCTTTCACTCTGCCATGTACCTCCATTTTCCTATCTGCAGTTGAGATATGAGGGCAAACCTATGTCCCTGAAGTGTCTCTGATGGTCAGTGCCAAGGATTTGGCAGAGAAAACCTTTCTGCTGTTGCTTTCATGGATTCTAAGTGCTTTTGCATAAAGGAAGAATTGAAGCTTCCTGATGTGACAAATAGTGAGAGCACCACTTTTCCCACTTGGGAAGAGATGGTGTTTTTCTTCTCTAACATTTGTCTAATTTTGGATCTTATTTGGCTTGAAAATAAACACTGGAAGAGTGCAAACCTTGTTCTGCTGAAGAGCTCACCAACTTCACTTCCTTTGTAAATTAACTCTACAAGGCTACAGCCCTTGTGAAGCACAAAAAATGCTCCAAATTCACCTTCCAGTGCTTCAAATGGATGGAAACACAGCCTAGCTGCCTGCTGCAGCGAAACCTGTCAGAGAGATGCTGAGATGTCAGAGTCCATAGACCTGTTTCTCATTGCAGGAGCAGCCATAGACACAGATGACAGCCTCAAGCCTTCCCTGGCAACAGAGGGGCAGTCGAAAATGCATCTGCCATCAACAGTATGGAAGCAGCCCAAGGACACCAAGGACTGGGGAGATGAATACATTTCCAAAGAGCAGCCAGAGAGAGGGAAAGACATGGGCCAAAGCAGATACAGCTCAGCAGACAACATAATATGTGAACCCTCTTTGGCTGGTAAGGAGTAGAAAACTCTGGCTAGAAAGGCTCAAAGCTGCTGTGAGCTGGCTGGTGATCAGCATCCATGGAGGGAGACACACAAAGCCAGTTTCTGCTGCTGGGGGGAATCTCTCAGGGCCTCACACTCCAAGACCTCTGGCCTTTGTATTTGTTGGGCTGTGTGACTGACAGAACCACTTTGTACTCAGGACACCCTTCTCCTTTCCAAGACCTGTCAGGTTCAGAGTACTGATGGGATTGCAGCAGTGGAGTTGCTTAAGTGGGTGAAAAACACAACTTCTCATTCTGCAGGGGTTCTTCAGGATGGGAAACCCGGATATGAATTGTTTTGCTTTTGCATGCTTGTTTTGTTATTCTTAGAAAAATTTGGTATTCATAAAGGGAAACACATCTGCTTTGGAGCTTTCTTAGCAAACTGGGGCTCTGGTCATGTCTGGGGCATGCTGTAGCATCAGGGCGGAGTTTTTCACTTTGGGGAAAGAAGACACAAAAAGATATCACTTTTAAACAAGTTTCTCCTTTCATGATCACTTCACCAGTCTAACATGCAGCTATCCTTGAGGTCAGTATTTTCTCATTTTTAAATTTAACCATTATCTTCTGGAAGCCAAAAGGCAGAACATCGCCTTGGAGCTGCTGGAGTCAGAAAGGAAGTACGTCATCAACCTTTCCCTAATCCTGAAGATCAAGGCCACACTGCAAGGGCCAGATGTGAAAAGAAGCACCAAAGAGAGAAGGTATTTGAAATAATATGCTCTCCGTGTTTGGGGGAGTTTTCTTCAGTCAATATTACTTTTGCATTATCCCCTCACACACTTTTCTTACATCCACACAGAGATCTTTGAACACTTGTAGTTGAAAACTGGAGGTACTGGGAGAGTTTTGCAGTCATTTAAGATGTTCCTGCCTGTCCTTTGCATCTTGTCCACCATCTTCATTCTGATTCTGGGTGAAATCAATGTGAAGTGGCAGAAAGGCAGTAGCATATTTTGACCAGCTCTGCATCAGTGAGCTGTCTCATGAAAGGGCCTGACAAATGGGACATCATGGAAAGCTGGGGATCTCTCCTCCAAGCTCTCAGGGGGATGGCTCAGGACCATGGTCCTGCATCATCAGCCACAGCAGCATTGCCTGGGGCTTTTTAGTGCTGCTAATTCTGATCAGCTACTCAATGCGTTGCAAGGAAAGCCTAAGGAGCTTTCCAAACACTTTATTAATAGCCAGCTGGTGAGGGAACTTGCATGTGCACAGCAGCCAAAACAGCCTCCAATGCAGCCAGGATTCCAAGCACAAGAGTTAATAACACCTGCAAAACGATAGCAATAATAGGTGTAGTCAATAATACATGTGCAAGGCTGTGCTGACCACTCAGGAATGCCCACTCCAGCAGGACTCACTTACTAGAGATGAGGTTTTGCTCTGTGTAACCAGTCTGATTTGGTCTCCCATCAGCTTTTTCCCCAACTCTTTGCGGTTCCTGGTGCAGCAGCATGTGGATTTACTGCACGCTCTCCAGGAACGAGTCCTGAGCTGGCCACGACAAGGAATCCTAGGAGACATCTTCCTGAAGCTGACAAATGATGAGGTATGTTAAAGACCTCTCTAGAATCTTCTGTCATGATTCATGATGTTTTGTTGAGGCACAGGTGGACAGAGACACCTTGCAGCAGACAGGCTGTGCAGCTGTGGCCTGAAGGGTAAGGCCTTTCAGCAAGCCCCCTTGGAGCACAGTCCTGGGGCATGGCAGCCCCTCTGTTGTTCAGGGATCCCACATGCCAGACCCACCTGTGGGCAAGCAGCCTCATAGCACACCTCCATAAACTACATGAGACCCAGACCTGCTTGCAGGAGCCACATGTGAGCCTAGACAGCTTGAATGGCTGTATTTCCAGTGAGGGTGTGAAAAGTGAGTGCTTCTGATGCTCCCCTGTCCCCATACACCTTGCTCAGAGTTCTGACAAGCAGGTGGACAGGCAGAGGCCCACATGATTTGTTGCACCCACTTCTGTTGCCCTGGTGAGCAGCAAGGATGTGTAAAAACTCACCTGATACTTTGTAAATTTTAAAGTCTTTTATAATGCTCTAATAAAAATAAAATAATTTTATAATTTTTAAGTCTTAGATAAGAAGAGCTTCTTACTGCCCAGCCTCTCTACCCCTCCCCACCTGCAGTATAGCTTTACACACTGTGCTCAACAGCTGAACACATCTTATTAAACAGACTTTCCTGAGAAGTTCCAAGCCCTGAAGGAGCAAAACAGCAGTTCTGCTGCACTGATGACCTTCCAACAGTGATGGTGGGGAATCAACAGTTTGGCTGGCTCTGTGACCAAAAATCTCTGTTAAGTTTGTTTGTTCTTTTCTCTTTTGTAAGAATAATTTTCTGGACTACTACGTTGCTTACCTGAGGGACCTGCCAGAATGCATCTCTCTGATCCATGTGGTGATCCTGAAGGAGGTAAGCTTCCTGCCTGCCTCCCAGACACCTCATGGCAACATGCAAGCCTGGATCTCTTCCTGTTATGCCTACCCATGACAGGACTCTCCTGCCAATCCACTTGTTCTGTTTCCTGGAGGTTGCCGTGGCTGACCGGCACCTACAAAAGGCAGCTTTAACACCTTCCTCGCTGTCTGAAACCAAAGCTGCTTTTCTGCTGTGCCATGAAACACTATCTCAGATTAAACCTCCCAAAAGCTTGTCTACACACATGACCTTTTCCAGGAACTGTCTCCTGAAAAATGGAGGACTTATCCAAACAGAGGGATCAAGACCTTTATAGAGAAAGGAGTCTTCACTTTCAGCTTCAGCTATTTGGTCCTGGATTCTTGGTTTAAATTTGGAAAGTTAAATAAAAAAAGTAGTCTAAAGTGCAATAACTGAATCACATTCGCTTGCTTCCAAGGTATTTTAATTTAGAAGTCATATCATTTTGTTCAATTAATTTGAGCCTAAACTAAGAACTTCATTCTGAACAACAGTGTCTTCTGGGGGTTTCTTCTGGGAAACTTAACTAGTGCACTTTCAACCTGCCTCCCTACTTAATTAGGCTGAGTGTCCCTAGTAGATAATCCCCAACCTAAATGCCTGGTGTGCCCCTGTGAACTGTTGTAACTCCTTACAGCATAACTATTCATTAAACCACAGAACCATCTGGAAGCAGACATGTTTTATGGGTGGAAAAGACTCTTAAGTCTCTTTCTCTGTTGCAGGTAGAAGAAGAAATCAAGTCTGATCTCTACATTCTGTTCTTTCACATAGTCCAGCGAATCCCTGAATACCTTATTCATCTGCAGGTAGGGCCCCAGGATAGAAACTGTGTTGTTGAACTCTTATCACATTAGGTGACACTTAACTCAGAGCTGGTATTTGGGCCTCTACAGGTACAGGGTCCTGACAAAACCCAGAGGGCTCTTTGAAGAAAAAAACAAAACAAAAAAAACTTTGAAAGGGAAAGCCAGCTAGCAATATCTTAAGTTGCGTCTTTTTCACATGAGGCTTGTTTATATTTGCCAATTTCTCCAGCTGACCTGACAGAAACACAGCTTTTGTCCCCCGGGAAGCCAAAGGCTCTGCTGTCTGCTGCTCTGGGAAAACAGGAGGCCAGAGATGGGACACATCTGAGAGGGCTCCTAGGGCCCAACAACGGGTCCTACAGAGGGATGGCTGATAAAGAGTTCTGGTTCACAGAAGGCTTATCTGAACTGTACTGAAACATTTCAGACAAGGCAAATACACAGAAAGCAAGCCGTAGAAAATCAGAACATTGGTTTATTCAGCCAAAGCTAAACTCAACCAGTGCATCACCTGTACATCCAATGACTACATTTACAGTGGCCCCTTGTGCATTTGCACTGGACTATGGGAGGCAGGCCCCATCCAAGTCCCTCAGAAACTCACTGTGCCTAGAAAAGCTCCCCCAGGGCAGTGCCTTGAGCACTCCAGAGTCCTAATCCATGGTTCCAATAGTGCCTTCTCCCCAGAAAGGCTCAGGACAGCCTCCAAACAGCCTGCTCTCCTCTGTGCCTCAGAATGTCCTGAAGTTCACGGAGCAAGAGCACCCCGACTATTACCTGCTGCTGGTGTGTGTGCAGCGCCTCCGGGTTTTCATCTCACACTACAGCCTCCTCTTCCAATGCAATGAAGACTTGCTGATACAGAAGAGGAAAAAGCTGAAGAAGTAAGCAGAACATCAGCTTATTCTCTCTGTCACCGGGGAAGGGAGGGGTGGGGGTAGCCTGGCAAACAGGGAGTTTAGGTCCAGGCAAGATTAACAGGCACACTGCTCTGTTGAAATAAAACAAAGCCCTTTGCACCTGAATGCTGGAGAAGAACAACTACTGGCATTTGCCCTCCAAACTGGGGTCAGATTTAGGGTGGGCCCTTCTGCCTAACTCTGACAGCGAAAGAAAAATCACTTCTAAATCCTTCTAAACATAGCAGCCACATGTTTCATGGGATCATTTGATTTGTTAAGCTGGTGGCAAAGTCACTCCCCACTGGGAAAACACAGAGGGATTTAGGTCTGGCAGCTCCAGGCCGTGGTGAGGGTGAGGACTGTTTCCCTTATGGGCTGAGACTCCAAAAGAATGGTGGTATTTTACTGGGGGAGGAGGCGGGAGAAACAAAAGCCTCCCGTAACCTGTTTGAGATTAACTATGACAGAAATTACCCTGAATGTAGATTTTCAAGTTGCAGTTCAGAACAATTCCTTGAAATCAAGGCTTTTTACTAGAATCAGAATCTGGTTGCCTTTGCTCCTTGTGATGATTTACCTGAGGAGTAGGACAAGATGAAATTTCAAGGGAAGCTTCCAAGTATGGAGGGTGGTAAAGGGCTGGAGCAGATTGCTGGGGAGGGACTGCTATCAGGAGAGGTGTTGAGAACACCACAGAAAGCAGGATGCCCTGCTGGCTGGAGCAGACTAGGTGGAACAGGCTCTTCCTTGGGGTGGGCAGAGGTGAACGGGAATATTAAGGTCCCTCCCAGTCCTGTTTTCTGTGATTCTACACGCTCGTGCTCATTCCCTGCCTTATTTCTTAGCCCGACGATGGATTTCTCCTCCCTCAGGTCATCCCTGGTGAAGCTGTACAAAGGTCTCACCTCCCAGTGTACAAGCCAGGAGGTTTCTCCAACACCCAGTGCAGCATCAATGCGGGACAGTGGGATCCATACTGAAGAGGCCATACAGTCATTCCCAGCAGCACCTTCCTCTGGCACAACCACCCCGTAAGCCTGTTGTCCTCATGGGCAGCTTTAGAGTAGGCTGAAAACTCTCCTCACACACACCATGCCAGTGACACCAGGCAGCTACAGGCTGTCATTGCCAAAAGCACTCCCTGTATTTGGATAGAGAGATGAAGGGCTGGCTCCATCCTGCTATCCCCCACCGTGTGGTTTACAAGCAGGGGATGTTCCAGAGCTCTACCCAGGGCTGCCTGCTAAGGCAGTACATCAGGGAGGACATGAATTTGTTTAGGCCTGACAGTGGTGTGCACAGCAACACCCTGCATTATTCACTGTCAGCATTACTAGAGCTGGGAAACAGGACCAAGATCTCAGAGCAGGGAAAGAAATACTTTTCCATACAGCACATAATGGAATTATGTGATTCACTATCACAAGATACAAGTAAAAAGTGGGTTCAAAAAGACACAAGACTAAGTCAAGACAGGGCTACTGGTAGCACCTGGAAATCTTCACAGAATCACAAAAGATTCTGAGTTGGAAATTACAAGAATCATGGAGTCCAACTCCTGGCCCCACACAGAACCATCCTCGAGAGTCACACCAAGTGTCTGAGAGCGTTGTCCAAACACTTCTTCAGCTCTGTCAGGCTTGGTGCTGTGACCACTACCCTGGGGAGCCTGTGCAGTGCCCAACCACCCTCTGGGTGAAAAACCTTTTCCTGATATCCAACCTAAACCTCCCCTGACACAATTTCAGGCCATTCCCTCTGGTCCTGTCACTGGTCACCAGGGAGAAGAGATCAGTGCCTGCCCCTCTGCTGTCCCTCATGAGGAAGCTGCAAACTACAGTGAGATCTCCCCTCAGTCTCCTCCAGGCTGAACAGACCAAGTGCCCTCAGCTACTTCTCATATGGTTCCCCTTTGGCCATTTCCAGCCTGACAGGTGCCAAATGAGATGATGATCAGAGAAGCATGCTAGACTTACCTTTATTCTTATGCCAGTAATTTGTGGCTATCGTGCTTTCTTAACTCATTTGATACTAACAAGAGTTTGGCTGCATCATTCCCAGTCCCCCTCTGTTAGTAATGTTGTAGATCAGTCCTTAGCCTCCTCCTCCCCAGACTGCCCAAGCCAATCTCCCTCCCACAGACAGCTTGCTCCAGCCCTCCACCTTGGTAGCCTCAGCTGGCACCACCTCCACATGCATCCTGAACTGAAGACTCAGCTGGAACACAAGGAGGGCAGGAGCCCTCCAACTACTCCTGACACATTTTGGGGACAGAGTCACCTTACCCAAGAGAGAAACCCAGTCCACCTGAAAAGACAACCAGACCACAGGAAAGTGAGGCACAGCTACATTACAGTGAGAGAAGGAAAGTTAAAATCTAAAATGCAGATGAACAGGAGAGAGAGATGGAGCAGTTGGCTTCTCATCTCAGTTTCTATTCATTTCATGCTGCAGAGTACAAAGGTCAGCCATAGTTACTGGATAAGCAGCTCTGTCTCTCCAAGTTTGGTCCTCCTAACTAGCCAGACAGTTTCTGTAAGAGACACCTCTGTTACTGTTCTCCAAGACAGGAGAGAATCTTTTGGCCATAAAATCAACACAATAGAGCTGGGGAAGTGAAGGGGTGGAGGGGATTTGTCATGTGTCTCTGTCATCCTTTAGTATTCCACTTCCGTCTGTTTTTTTGTTTTGTTTTGTTTTTTATTTTTAAGGCATTTGATGCCGCAGATGAAGAAACCCCAGCCAGCCGTGATGGAGAACATCCAGGCTGTAAAGCCCCCTGACTGGGAGATGGAAAGCAGAAAACACGAGAGGCCAGAGAACATCCTTGCCTCCTCTCAGCTGACAGAGCAGGAACTTAAGGCCTTGACAGCCCCCTTGCAATCCATCCCCGAAATGGAGTACGAAGCGCCACCGGCTGATGCGGTGGGGAACACCGAGAGAGCCATCAGAACCTCTGTGGAACTGCTGCAGGATGCCAGGAACTTTGCACCAAGCTATGAAGAGTTTGACTACCCTGGGGAGGTTTTCACCATGCCAGGCCCCTACGAAGATGACACCTTCCAAAACCTTGCTCTCTTTGAGAACTGCTCCCCGGCCTCTTCCGAGTCCAGCTTGGATATTTGCTTCCTTAGGCCTGTGAACTTCACCTCAGAACCGGAGAGGACAGACCATGCCTTGCAGCCACTGCCTAAGAGCTGCACTCCCGTGAGCAGCAGCACCTACAAGCGTGAGATGTTCCACAGCAAAGGGAAGCAGCTGAGCAGGTCCCTGAAGGAGCTGCCGCGGAGCGCGGAGGGCGTGAGCACCAGACTCTACAGCACGCGGAGCAGCAGCGGGAGCCGTCTGCAGCAGAAGCAGGACAGGAATGTTCAGCCTCACATGATCTCAGCCTCATCTCGAAGCTCCCAAAGGAGCTACTTCCCCCCACAGAGAGGAGCGGGTGAAAAACCGAGCTTTTTGGAAGTAAGGAGGCTTAAATAGGAGGAGGAAAAAAAAAAAAGGCACATGGTGGTGCAGCAGCAGCAGGAGAAAGATCTGAGATACAGTTAGAGTAGAACACATCAAAACAGCTTTCAACACATTCCAAGTCCTCAACCGCATGTACATGCCCAAGGGAGGGACAAGACAACTCGTTTTCACACACATCTTCCCCAGGGACAAGCACGGGGTTGAGGTGCACAGCTGGCTGAGCTAGAACACCCTTGAGACAAGGTAGCCTCTTGTGTGTCTCCACCTGTCACCAAGCTTCCTCCCCAGGTGAATGTTCTGAGCAGGTCACAAAGTTTACACAAAGCTGTTCAAAATTAGTGCTGTGGTTGGCACCCAGTTTAAACAGGTGCCTTTCCACCTGCTGTGAGGAGTGCTGGGTAAGTCATGCCGGTGTAAACCAGCATGACTTGGCCAAGCTCAGCCCATTTACACCAGCAGGGATCTGGTCCATAGGTTTTGTTTCACCTGTATTTGTTGCCTGGATTGTGCAGACCCATGCCAAAGTCTGTGTGAGAGCAGTCAGAGTCCAGCAACTGTGTCCCTCAGGTGGGACATGGCAAACAGCATGGTAACCCTTCAGGGACACCAGGTCCTGCAGGAGCAATGTTTCTGTAGTTTGCAGTGGCTGTTCAGAGTCAGCTTTGGGCTGTCACAGCCAAGGGTACTCTGAGGTGCTTAGATAGGAGGCTGTAGATACAGATGATGATGGGAGGTAGGTTCCAACAGCCTGACTGAAAAGGCAGCAAGGAAACTTCAAAAGAGAAGGAAAAAGAAGCCTAGTGAGTGAAGGAGGTGGTAGAGGGTTGAACAGGGGAGATGAGCCGTGGGGACACAGCCACCCCAGAGAAAGAGGCCTGAGTTCTTTGGCACTCACTTGCACAGAACTATGGCCCACAGCAGGGTGCAGATGTGGAGCTTGTCTAGAACTGCAAGACATGTTCTCCCCCACAGTGCAAAGGAAATCACCATGGCAGTGGTGGGCAGAATTGGAGAAAAGGGTCTTGTCCAGAGTCTTGCTGAGAGGAGCTTGGCACTCTCCTGAAAGAGGGACAGATCTTTTAGTAGCACATTTACCACAAGGTGTGTGTGCTAATGAACCTTTTGCCCCACAGATATAAAACCATGCAGCAGCAGAGCCAGCAGAAGAGATTTTCATACTTTACCACAGCTCCAAAGCCTGATGCCTCCCTGCCCTAGGGGAGAAAGGAGAGGGTGGGAAGTTCTTCCAATTGCCCAAGCTGGCTTGCTCCCTCACTGGCAAAAGAAGCTAGTGAGCTTTGCCTAAACAAAAAGCTTAGCAAGAAAGGCTCCAGTTCCCTCTAACAGTGCTTATCCTTCTACTCCTCTGTCACTGCCTCAGCCTTAGAGCCAGCAACAAGCTCTCTGCAGAGGTACCAGTGTTGTTTCCCAGCCTTGTCAGCACCTCCTGATCCACCAGGTCCCTCCTAGCACAGAAGTAGAGAAGGGAACAAGAATGTGAGGTTGCAAATGCTGGTTAAATTGTCTTTTCCCTTTTAGGAGCTCCATGCAGAAGACAACACCAGGTTCTGCCAGAAGGATGACAATGAGCAAACATCCTTCAGCGACCACAACCCGCGGCACGAGCCCAAGGGGGGGTTCCGGAGCTCCTTCCGCAAGCTCTTCAAAAAGAAATAAGCAGCCCCAAGAAAGGCAGGCCACAGCCAAAGCACAGCAGTGCTTCCCCAGGTCCCCGAGGGTGGAGACAGACAGCAAGGCCCCAGGATCCCCTGACTAACACAGAGGGTGGAGGGTGGGGGAGAGGAGACTCTCACAACTGCCTTATAAATGCATCCTGCTCTTCCTAGCACAGGGCAGGGCCAGGCTTTGGGATGCGGTGGAGCTCAACCAGCAGGTCCAATAAGCACAGGAACTTGCTAGCTTTCATCCCTACCTGACTGAACTTCCCTCAGATTTGGAAAGCTTTGGCCAACCCCTAGTATCTTCTCCTCCCCCTCATCCCCCAAAACTGCTTCATTTGCCATGCATCTTTGCTGCTTCTTCAAGGCAGGTCTTATTTGGGCTCACCCACAACAGAAAGGTTACCTTTGCAGCCCTGGCATCCTGGCCAGAAGTCTAAAATTCCCTTCTTTCTTCTACTTTCCAAAAAAAATACACCATCAAAGATGTATTCCAGGAGGCCAGCTCACATTACCCAGGTGGTTTGAGAGGGTCTAAGAAGCATCAGCTGAAGCACCTGAGCATTGCACTGCCTAATCAGCAACATCCTTTCTTTTGGACTTCCATCACTCGCCAAAATGCCATTTCACCTTTTATGTGAATGCAGTTTTCCTGAATTGTTTCCTGCTGTAGGAATCACTGCTTCTGCTCTCAGAATCGCCTGTGTCTCCATGCAGGTGATGAAGGCTGGGCCCAGGGCCTGCCAGAAGAGACAGACTCTTCTCCACCTTATCCCCAGTGTGGATCAATGCAGATGCTGGTAGTGCCAAAGTGTCCTGGCTCCTGGTCTGTAACACACCTGGAGCACACTTTGCTATCTCTCTGGCCTGACACCTTCATGAGCCCCATCACATGCAGCTTTGGAAAGGCTCCTCCAGCTAAAAACTGAGGCACTAGGGCAGGAAAGTTGATGGTGCACCATGTTCAGAGTCATAGCCCTCCTTCTTGTGCAAGATCAGCGAGGCTGCACACAGGCCACCCTCCTCACACCTGGACATGACAAACCCTCAGAACCTCTGCAGAAGACAGAGAAGCTCCACTGTGGTACCCGTGTCACGCACCAGCAGCGAGAGCACCACTGGCACAGTGCTGTTACCAGTGCAGTACTGCTGAGCTCTGATGTCACCTGAAGCTGGGACGTTCTGAGGGCAGTTTCAAGAGCAACTGTGGTTTTATCACCTTGTTTTGACAAGCCTGGGACAATGGTCTGTCTAAAGGACAGCTTCACCTTAAAAAGTTGTGAACTGTCTCCATGGGGCCAACAGCAATGCCTTGGGGGAAATACTGTGGGACTGGGGGCTTGGGACTCCCCGCATGAGCGCAAGGGTGGCTGATTTTGGGGCCAAGAGAAGAGCACCCACCAAGCTGCATGGCTCTCCTGGCCATGGCAGCAGGGCAGGGGAGCCCAGAGCAGGTGCCTGTGGATGCAGTGGCCAATACCTGCTGCAGATGCAGGGCCCAGAGCTCTCCAGTGTTGACTGACCTGCATCTACCACCTGCTTTTCCTCCTCTGCTGGCGGCAATGGGGTATGTGTGAAAAGGGCTATCCAGACAGACAAAACCCATCCTTTACTGCAATCAAGGTTTTCCCAACATTTCAAGAACAAAACAAAACCCCCAAAAAATCCAAGCAAAACCCCAAAGATTAAAATATTTTAGCTGGTCCCTCTCCCATAGATTTTAATGAAACAAACATCCACTTCTCCTCCTTACAGAAAGGAAAGAAGTACCACACTTTCCTCCCCTAGCTTTTGGAAACTACTCTGGGAAGATTTTTTTTTAATGTAAGGCTTTTAATGGCAAAAAACTCTTCTTCCATCTCCTTCCCTTTCCCTCACATCCTCATAAAATTACAAATTCCCTGTCCCATCCCTTTCCAGTCAGGACTGCTCCATGCTGACCAGCCACTGAATCAGACAGTTCCTAGGACTTGGCAGCTTTAGTCAGACTCTGCAGGGCCAGGATAGAAATTACATAGGAAGAGCCAGATACTTGTAACTGAAGCATCAGCAAAGCCTGTTTGTTGTGCACAGGAATCAGCCTCAGACAGAACTGTTTGTCTATGGAATCAGAGCTGTATCTTTATGGACAAGTGTCCATTGTAAGGCACTGATGCTGTCAAGGGCTCTGATTCTTGTGGTTCTGGTCTCATATATGTAATGACACTTTTATCCATCACAAAACAAACCTGCTTTTCATATTTGCCAGGCAGATACCAGGACAGAAACAGGACAAATAAAAAAAACCTACCTGCTAACATCTCCTGGGTGAGGAAATTCTTCCAAAGTGGCAGACCCTTGCTTGTAAAATGCATGTGGATTTCAGCTTCTGTTTTAGTGATTTAAGGCACAGCCAGAACTGATGGTTATTTCTTTCTGATTCTCTTTGAGTTCTTACTTCCAAGCCTATACTTACCACTTCAGATGTCCTTGTACCTGCTCAGAATCTGCAAATGTAAATAATATGAATGAATGATGCTCAGCACCACACATACACAACCTGTTGCAGGATCCATTTCAAATCCATCTTTAGTGTATGTGTGTGCTCTGGATTATTTTTCTTCCTATGCCAAATAAACGTTGCCTTTAAATAACGCTGTTGCCCCTTGCACTGAATCAGCCAGAAGGCTGCATCCATTGAAAGAAGAAACAGGTGCTTCTCTGGTCCCTGAGGCAGCATTACTTACACAATCCTGCATCCCTACAAGTCCAGCCATGCAAGCACTAGGTTCTAAGACTCTTAGTCAGAACTCAGCTGAGTCACTCTCCAGGCTTCTGGTCAAGATCCTGTTGTTGGTGTAGCTCACTGTGACAGATCTTCATCTCCTTAGATTCTTCTAGACCACACCTCTCCACAGCTACACTCCCTGTTTAAGTCAGCCATCCTAGAGTCAAAACAAAAAAAGGCTTACTCTGAAAGAGATGCAACAAACTTGTCCAAAGCAATTCCAGTAACATGTGCCCTTGATCACCTACCTTTACCTTATTTTAAAAAATATTACAGATGTTCTGCACATTTGGCAGATAAATTGTCATGCATCTGGCAAAAGGGTTTTTATTTTATTTTTCCCTTTCAACTTCTTAGCCACCCAGTACAAGATTTCACACTTGCTGTCCAGAAAATAAGAAAAAAAAAAACTTACTCTTTGTTTCCTTCATGATACACTATTTTCCACTGAACACTAAAGGTAAATTTGCTCTCAGTGGACAGAAAAATGCATTTAAGGGTGATTTGTTGTTTTTTTAAATGGAAAATAAGGAATGGAATTTACAAAATAAGAGCATTTTTGTTTTTACACCTGTATTAGGCCACAGGTTTCTCTCCCAAACAAAGACTTCACCTATGCATTGTCTGGGTTTAGGAATGACAATTCAACAATCTCTTCCATGAAGCACAATAATCTACTACGTTCAACAGCAGTACCCTCCAGTGATATCACTAGGAAAATCTAATTTAAAACACACACAAAAGAAAAATAGTATTCCACAACGTCACTCTAAAACTTGAAGGATATAAATCCAGTGTATTAATCAGCACACTCTTCCTGAGACAGACCTCTCCCTCCCTGATTTGAGAGAGGCATATTAGAGCAGCAGGTTAGCCCACACTGGAAATGGCTTCTTGAGGATGGAGCTTCCATGGTGTCAGCCCTGAAGGGGGACAATATTCCCCATCAGCAGACAAGCTTGTTGCAGGGGCTGCTGAACACCATGACAATGTAACATGTCACCATGGGGAGCACAACAGCCACTTTCCACACAGCAGCTGAACAAATGCTCAGCACCTGCAAAATCACCATGGAACATGATCCCTGGGTTGGAAAGAAACCTTTGAAGGCCATCTGGTCCAACCCCATGCAATGAGCAGGGACATCTTCACCTAGAGCTGGCTGCTCAGAGCTCTTCCAGCCTGACCTTGAACACTGCCAGGGATGGGGCATCTTCCATCTCTGGGCTACCTGTTCCACTGGTGCTCCACACCCGTTGTAAAAAAACTTCTTCCTTATACTTTGTCTACATCTACCTTCCTTTAGTTTAAAGCCATTGCTCTCTGTCCTATTGCAAGAGGCCCTGCCAAAAAGCTTGTCCCCATCTTTCTTAGAAACCTATGAAGTTCTGCTGCATAACCCTGCCTACACAGTTTGCAGTGGTTCTGGCTGACTTTTAGCCATATATCAGCTCTCTACAGTAATACAGCAACTCTCCAGGCCTCCACTCAAGCACATTTCATTGTCCAGGTCATATCATTACCCCAGGCCACACCAGACCAAGTCAGGGTCATTTTACCAAGGAGACAGAGAGCATCATTAAAACAATTTAATTTCTATGTGAAAAGTCTTGTCACTAATGCAAACATGATCCAAATAAGAAGCCGTTCCAGATCAGAAATTATTAACACAGAACTGCCATGACACAAACCAGTGGCTTAGCAGTTGTATTCAACTCCTAAATGCAACAGGTTTGATTCTGACCCTGTCCTTCCTGTTTGCAGCTGAGTCAACACCATGATTTGTGCACTGTGACTGACCCCTGGGCTCCAAAGAATGTTTAAGTTCTTTCATGGTGACCATTGTCACCTGTTGTCTGAGTATCTCACCAGGATAGCACTTTTATCCTCAACCACAAACAAGGAACAGCATTCCCCATTTCACAAAGGAAAGCAGAAACCTACTGACATTTAAGAAATCTGCTGATTAGCAGGAGCCATGAGAGATCTCTCCTGACTGAGCAGCCTGACCACTGGGGGCCTGCTCTGCCTTGGCTTCACAACCACACAGACAAAAGTGTGCTGAAGAAGAAATACAGATCAGAAAGTCTCAATTTATGGAGCTTTCCTGGCAACCCACTGAGGAGCTAATAATTTAGGTAACATTAACAACAGTATGTTCATCATGGTGTTTTTATCCAAAGAACCCATAACCTAAGCTACACCTCCTGTGGCTTGAGAGTTTTTGTAAAGCTCCCAT